TTACTCTCTCAATATTAAAATTATATTTAAGTGTATACATAAATTTGGAGTAAGGTGCAATAGAGAGGAAAGTGTTTTTTTCATCTGAAATCTTGTTTTCAAATTATTTATATAAAATATTTAGACAAAAAAAAATTGGAAGACTCAAATTCAATTCATAACTGATTGGAAAACTATCATAATCGATTATGATCAATTACTAGGTTTCTATAATTGATTATTAGGCGAAATTTGCCTCATAATCAATTAGACAAGTGCCACAATTGATAATAGACCAATTTTCACTATATAATCAATTATAAATAATTCCTAGTTGATTATGATCTGATCTAAAAAAAATTGCCCCAATCCAAAATGATTTTTACCATTGAAACGTCAACCCTTTAGTGCATGATTTATGTATCAACCTAAAATGCTACTTTCATTCTCAAACTTCAAGATGGAAAAGTTTAAGGAAATCTTTCAAACTTTCATCTCTCTCTCTCTCTCTCTCTCTCTCTCTCTCTCTCTCTCTCTCTCTCTCTCACACACACACACACACACACACACACACACACACACACACACACACACACAAAGTTTAAGTAAATCTTTCAAACTTTCATCTCTCTCTCTCTCTCTCTCTCTCTCTCTCACACACACACACACACACACACACACACACACACACACACACACACACACACACACACACACACACACACACACACACACACACACACACACACACACACACACACACACACACACACACACACACACACACACACACACACACACACACACACACACACACACACACACACACACACACACACACACACACACACACACACACACACACACACACACACACACACACACACACACACACACACACACACACACACACACACACACACACACACACACACACACACACACACACACACACACACACACACACACACACACACACACACACACACACACACACACACACACACACACACACACACACACACACACACACACACACACACACACACACACACACACACACACACACACACACACACACACACACACACACACACACACACACACACACACACACACACACACACACACACACACACACACACACACACACACACACACACACACACACACACACACACACACACACACACACACACACACACACACACACACACACACACACACACACACACACACACACACACACACACACACACACACACACACACACACACACACACACACACACACACACACACACACACACACACACACACACACACACACACACACACACACACACACACACACACACACACACACACACACACACACACACACACACACACACACACACACACACACACACACACACACACACACACACACACACACACACACACACACACACACACACACACACACACACACACACACACACACACACACACACACACACACACACACACACACACACACACACACACACACACACACACACACACACACACACACACACACACACACACACACACACACACACACACACACACACACACACACACACACACACACACACACACACACACACACACACACACACACACACACACACACACACACACACACACACACACACACACACACACACACACACACACACACACACACACACACACACACACACACACACACACACACACACACACACACACACACACACACACACACACACACACACACACACACACACACACACACACACACACACACACACACACACACACACACACACACACACACACACACACACACACACACACACACACACACACACACACACACACACACACACACACACACACACACACACACACACACACACACACACACACACACACACACACACACACACACACACACACACACACACACTCACTCACTCACTCACTCACTCACTCACTCACTCACTCACTCACTCACTCACTCACTCACTCACTCACTCAAGTGAAAATTAGGTTTATCACTCGATCAAATTACAACTCTCATTTTATCACATGCTTGAAAAGTTTCTAAATTTTTAATCAAATTAAAACTAAAACACACACTTTCGAGATCTTGAGGATCCACTTTCAAAATTAAAATATTAACATTTACTTCTTTGTTCCATATGCGACGAACAACATGGTTCATAGAGAGTGGAAGAATAGATAGATTCGATGGTTCCCCGAGAAATCATTTAGTTGCGAATGCCATAGTCTTAATCGTTGCTTAAGGCTGAGATTATGGATGACCACAAGCACATGACTTGCCATGAGATCGAGAACTATGATCTTGAGACAATTGTCTTAACTCATACTGGGAAGCATGAGTCCCCATATGTCTTCCCTGGCCCAAATTGTGAATGTTGGGTTTTAGCTACCTCTTACTTCTCTATGCGTACATATGTATGTTGAACTACTCTAGTGCATCGTTAAAGTATATTCCATTTTCCATTTCAATGTAATTTTAAATGAAAAGATATGCAAAACATTATTTTCATTCCAAAAGCACGGTTACGACAATGGAAACTAACCTAGGGTCTGTTCGGGGTGATTGTGAATTTTTGGTTTTAAAAGTCAATTTTAAAAAAAAATGGAATTGATTTGATTTTTTTTTTACTGAATTTCTAAATAATTTCCACTAAAACTAAACTAAAACCAAAACTTTTTCTATTTTTCTTTTAAATTTTATGACACTGCTACCAATGGTCGATGAACAATATTGCAACCACTAGTATGATGACCAACACTAGGGCTACGAATGACCATCGTCAACCATCACTCTATCCATTGTTTAAAAACACCACCTTCTATTGTCGACAAGCCACCTATAATCACCACATTATCCTAATATGATCTCTAATCTAAGCACTACTATGACCCCATCACATTATCCCCATATGATCTCTAACCTAAGCACTATTATGACCACCATCAAACATCATTATGACCACTGTCAACCACCACATTTGACCACCTTCAACCAACATGTATGACCATCACCAACCTTCATTATGATCACCGTCAATCACCATTATGACCACTAAGAACCATGTTAACCGCTAGTCACCACCACCGACTACCACTCTGACTACCGTAAACCATCAATTACTATCCCCACAAACCAATTTGTCATTTAAAAAATAGAAACATCATTAATTTTAAGTGCAAAAATATAAAAGCAAATTAAAACTATTTAAATTAAAAATAAATAAAAAAGACCAATTTTGTGAATAAGTAAAATAGAGAACTAAATGGTAACTAAGCGTAATTATAAATATGTTGAATGTAAAGTAATTAATGTTTCACACATTTACTAACTATAGAAAACACAATGCGTTTAAGATACCCTTATTGTGAACTAACTATAGAAAACACAATGCTTTTAAGATATCCTTATTTTGAACATTGTGGCATTAGTTGAGAGAACTTTGCATGTGCTTAGATATTGCTCAAGATTGTCCCATGACTATGTATATGTTATGAATAGTGGGTGGTGCGGCTGCGATAGCGGCACACCGCGAAAAAATTGCAAGGTCGCTTACCAGTCCAACGCGAAAGGGGAAAATGGGTGAAGCAATTGAGATCGCAGGTTTGAAGCGGTGCAAGTGCAGTTCAAAAATGGCCAAGTTCAAACCGAGTCGGGTCGACGGGTTTTTATCCATTATTTTAAAAAAGCTCTAATTTTTTTCAAGCCTATCTTCTTCGTTATCGCACACGTTCCTCTTATTTGTTACTGCACAGCACACACATTCCTCTTCTCCTTTCCTGTTCGCACACTATTTGTCTTCCTCTTCATCATCCACCTCATCTCTGCTTCATCTTCATCATCTCAAGTTCAAGTATTCTTTTTTATCATCATCTATTATTTTTTGTCTTCATCATGTTTTATGTGTTTTATGTTGTCTTCATCATCACCTCCGCCTTCTTTATCTAAATCTGTTTTATGTTTTCGTCATGTTTTTTGTTTTCTTCATCATCACCTCCACCTTCTTTATCTAAATTTAAGCCAAAAGCAAACCAAGCGATTATAGTAAAAGATAAATTTAGTGACCAAGAATATATTTAAGAGAATGAATAGGATGCTAATGTCAGAGAAAGTGAAGATGAAAACTTAGATTTTAATAACTTTTGAATTTTTATTAGAGTTTTGATGTTTATTGTTATTTTTGAAGTATATTGCAATGTTTTTGTTTAGGACTTATGCCTTTTAATGATATTTGAAATTGAAAGTATGCTATGATGTATTTGGAAGTATTTTATTGCTTAAAAATTAAGACTTCATGATGTTTGAGTTTTTTTTTAATTTACTAGAATGTTTTTAGCATACACCGCTCCCCGCTTCCACACTGCTCCTATTTTGGGGTTGACCGCGTCGCGCCACTTTCTGGGATTACAACATAGGGCTGTTATTAGTGGGAGCGGCTGGCGGATCAATTCAAGACATAACACATCGTTTCTTACTGTGCATCCTTAAATGTATGGGTTCAGCTTAATATTTACTTACAGGCAAGACGAAGGACACTTCTTGGCCTCAGGTGTGAGCCATTGCTTGTCATGCCTTAGAGTTGGAGGAATAAGAACTTACGGGTCAACTTAATAACTAATGCTGGAATGAAGTAATGGATTGAGGCAACAGAATCACTTAAGGTGTGTAATCCAACATACAACTAACTATTTGATTTCTGACAACAACAAAATTAAACAAAAACATTATGTACCACCAGCATTGCTTTTCAGTGAGGAAAAGGAATGCAGATGGATATCGATCTGTAAAGCGGTGTTTCGTAAATACTATGATGATATCACCGTTTTAGTGACTGTATAAACAAAATAACTAGAAACCTAAAGTCCATCGATAAATCTTCTGAACGGGCATTAATGCCTCTAAAAACAGCAACTAGCCCATTTGATGTAGTTCCATATCACTTGGTCAAATCAACCTCTACCTCGCCCTGCACCTACCACAAGAAGAACAAATGTTGGAATATTGATATGATTCAATCACAACATCTATGCTACATAGTAAGTTAGTCACAAAGTAAAAATGAGGAAGAAGGATATTGATATGATTCAATCACACAACTATGCTATTTAGTATCTTAATTCTGAGGTAAAAATGAGGAAACTTGTGTTTAGGATACATTGGGGGACATATGAACAAATGGTACACATGTAATAGTTGCATTTTGGAAGTTGAAATAATAAAAAGATGATTTACCTCTGTTTCCAGCAGTCCTTCCACCTGGGCCACCCCTTCCTCGGCCTCCTCCAGGCCCCCTAGCACCACCTTCTTCAAAGCCGCGTCCAACTCCTTTTACTTGACGTCCAGGAGCGCCATCCTCCCTACCTCTTCCCCTTCCACGTCCCACACCAGGTGGTTTGCGATCTGAAAAGCGTAACCAAATAACATTCAAGTTTTATGCAAATGGAAAGAAAAAAATACCTGAGAAACAATTCAATGGAATGAAACTGTTCCTCCATTCAGTTGATGATTCAGAAAGTAAATAGTTCATTTAAATATCAATATGAATAACCAGCTAAACATCAAAACAACTTACCGGTGCGACTCTTGGTTTCCTCCTGAACTTTGTCAATAACCTAAACCAACACACACCAAAGCTAGATTAATAGACAGAATACTAACAGTCTAAGAGCTTATGTTGGTCACTACAAAGCAATCATTCTATACAGTACACACCTCATCAGGAACTCGAAGGTATTTAATGGTATTCCCCCGAATGTAGCACTCAGGCATACGCCAAAATCTATCTCCATCCTACATTGTCAATTTCAGTCAAACACTGTAAGTCACAACAAACAACAAATAACATAACGATAAATAAAGATTGAAACTACTAAAAAAATAAGAAGGGCTGTAAAAAAAGTTACTTTAGAGGTGCAAATGACTTCTCGGAGATGTATGTTCATCCATGTATCACAATTAACCAAATGGCCATTATAAGTCTCTCCATTTTTGAGTTCAACCAACTGTTACAACATGTGACAGACACAAAAACCTACAAGTTACAAATCAAAGAAACGCAGTAGTAACGCAAGTTGAGTTATATTTATATTGAAATGAAAACAAGTAAAATAAAGCAAAAGGATTCACTCACCATGGGGTGGCCTTGAGCAGTTTTGAGAAGGGAGAGTGGCAGCTGCAAAGAAAGTGTGAAGCAAAAATTAAGATTGAATGGAACCCTAACCCTAACCCTAATGATAATGATGTTTGGGGTAAAAAAAATTGAATTGTTTAATTGAGAAAAAAAGAATGAAGTTGATGAAATCTAGGTAATCGTTAAAGCGGTGTTTTATGGTGGAAGAGGGGGGGGGGGGGGGGGAGCGGTGACTTACCATGACGTGAAGCGGTGGTTGATTTGAAGAAAGAAATCGAAGAGAGGTAAATGACGACGGCGAGATGTCTGCGAGACCGTTTGTTTGGGTTTATTTAAGAAGTACACTTTTTAGAGAGTCAATTCTGTACTGAAGAACTCAAGTTTGCTTTCTTTAATAATGAGTTTAATGGACATATGTACTAATCCCTTCCTTTCATGTGTTATAAACAATTTTTTTTATATATTGAATAATTAATATATCTGATATTTATATTTTATATAAATAGATATATTATTAATTATTTAATATATTTTAAAAAATAAAATTTATTTATAATATAAAATAGAAGAAATATTATATAAGAAAATTTTACACCTTCAATAAAAAATTAAATATATAAGATATTTTATATTATCAATATTATGCATTAAGATGTATTTTGTTCATTAAAAATTGATATAAAATTATTTTATATTGTCAATGCATTTTTTTTTATTTATTAAAATATAGTTTGTCCGTTGTGCGGTTAGTCTATGATATATTAATGTTATTGTATATAAAATTTTTAACTTCATTAAAATTTTAGATTATTGTTTTGTTTGTTGAGTATTTTTTAAAGACTTAATGTATCATTTAGTCTATTAACTAAATGAGTTGTTTCGCTCTAGTCTCTTAAGAAAAAAACGTTACATTGTGGTTCTTTCACTTCACTTTTGTTAAAATTTTGGTCCTTTCTGTTAGTTTGTATTGGACGAAAGGTTTAAAAAAATGTCAGGATGGACTACTTACATATGATGTGGAATTTAAATATTCTTGAAAAATGGTTTTAAAATGTCATGTTGTAAATCGTTGATGTTAAATAAGAAATTCATGAAGCTCACACGTTAAGGAAAACGAAGACATTTCTCTGAATAGGGAAAGCTCCATTGAAGACCAACTCCATTGAAGACGATTGTACCATTATGTTTCACAAACCAACTTCATTGAAGACGATAGCAACAATAGTTCCACAAACCAACGCCATTGAAGACGATATCAATGTTTCTCTAATTACGACTAAGGTATGGTTTTTCACCTATAGCTTACTAAAAATGTGAACTTTTTCTTTTGGTCATCTTCCTTAGTAGTTTTGCTATCTTATGTAGGTTAAATAGGGTAATGGAGAAGAGGTTTAAGTGTGTTGTTCATCATTCTAGTGATTTTCTAGAGAGTTTGCTAACTTCACAAAGTTAGGATATCAAGGGTTAGACACTATTTTGGATGTTGATCCAGATTATTAGAGTTACTTTGAAATTTTAGGCATGTTAAAAGATTTAAGTTATCCAACTGTAGGTAGACTTTGGTATTACGATGAAATGAATGTTTGTGATATTGTGTTGTTAGAGGATGACAATGGAACTAATAGGATGCATACAATGGCAGTATTGACTGGGGAATGTCATTTTTATGTTACTCATCTTGTTTCTCAGCCTAACATTATTGATGAACCGATTCTTTCATTAGGATTAGACGATGAAATTGTTGTAGATGTGGGAGCTGAGTTTGGAGTTAATGAAACTGATGTGGGGACCATTGTGGTGCAAGATAGTACAAATGTGGGAGCTAAGTTTGAAGTTAATGAAACTGATGTGGGGACTACTGTGGTACAAGAGAGTACAAATGTGGGGACTACTGTGGTACAAGAGAGTACAAATGTGGGGACACATGTGGAGGATGAGGGGACAAACTATGAAATTGAGGAGAATGTGGGTGATGACGGGACAAATTGTGACATTGTAGAGAATGTGGATGATGAAGGCACAGACTGTGACACTGAGGGACTCAACTGTAACTAGTCAGAAGTTGAGGGAGTTAATGTTAGTCAGGCAGATGTGGAGGTGGAGGTAGAGTATAGTGAGACTGAGGGACTCAATTGTAACTAGTCAGAAGTTGAGGGAGTTAATGTTAATCAGGCAGAAGTTGAGGGAGTTAATCAGGCAGAAGTTGAGGTGGAGGTAGAGGGTAGTGAAGACAATGCTTTGGATGTGAATTTTGAAGACTCAGAAAATAATATAGGAATTGATAGAGAGATAGTAGTTGATGATGAGGAAGTGAGTACAAAGGGTAAGGCAAAGGGCAATGCAAAGGTTAAGGTAATTGGCAAGGCAAAAAGTAAGGCAAAGGGCAAGGTAAATATGGAAGGACCAAGTGAAGGGATTTGTTTACTTGATGTCATGAATGGAGGTGACGTCTTAAAGACAAATTTAAGAGAATTAAGTGACATTGAAGAGTGTGATAGTGATGAACTACCTCAAGAGTGTGATAGTGATAATGGTGAGATTATAAAGGATGCTTTTATAACCTTCAAGATTCCAAAAATATGGAAGACTACAAATGGTAATTAGGTACTTATTTTGCTACAAGTGATGACTTTAAGGAGGCTATAAGAATGTATGTTATACATTCAGGAAGAAACTTGAAATTTCAGAAAAATGACAAAAGGAGAATGAAAGTTAAGTGCAAGGATGGTTGTCCATGGGAGGCATATTGTGCAAATATAAAAGGTCAAGAAACTTGGCAATTGAGAACAATAGTGGACAGACATACATGTAGCAGGGATTATAAGATTAGGTTCCTAAATTCTAAGTGGTTAGGCAAAAAGAGTCAAAGCAATGTTAGAGAGAACCCGGATTTGAAATTGAGGGATATTTGGAGAATACACATGAAAAGTGGAATGTAGGCATCAATAAAAACTTTCATATAGAGCAAAGACACTTGTTGTTGATATTGTGGATGGTTCATTTAGGGAGCAATATAGGAAAATCCCATGATTATGGCCATGAACTGTTAAGGGAAAATCCAGGATCAACTTTTAAAATTACAAGTCATCCATTTCAAGGTGAAGAGGAAAATGGTGAACACCCTACTAGGCAAATGAATCCTCACTTCCAAAGGATGTACATATGACTTAAAGCTTGCGAGGAAAGTTTTTTTAAATACAGACCTATTATTGGATTGGATAGGTGTTTCTTAAAGGGATATTGTGGTGGACAAATACTAGTTGCCATTGGGAAGGACTCAAATGACCAAATCATTCCAATTGCATATGAAGTTGTTAAGGGTGAGACTATAGATTAATGGAGTTAGTTTTTAGAATTATTGACAGGTGATTTGGAAGGAGTCGGATTGTGCAAAAGCTATACCTTAATAAGTGATCAACAAAAGGTTAACTCTAATTTTTAATTTTACTTATTTCATATATATCACCAAATGTGTTAACACCTTTAAAATTGCAGGGTTTGTTACCAGCTATTGAGGAATTACATGGTAATGTTGACCAGAGGTTTTGTCTCAGGCATTTATATAGCAACTTTAGGAAGAGGTTCCATGGCCTAAAACTGAAGGAATTGATGTGGAGGGGTGCAACTGCAGGTCATGTGAATACTTGGGAGAAAATAATGCTTGAAATCAAGTGAGTCAATGAAGAGGCATTCAAACATCTCATCAAAATTCCACTAAGATTATGGAGCAAATAAAGGTTCAGGACAAGTACATGTTATGATACTTTGGTCAATGATATATTTGAGGCGTTCAACTCTGTCTTTGTAGTTGTTGGAGCCAAGCCAATTGTGATAATGCTTGAAGAAATTAGAGTGTATTTAATGCAAATATGGGAATCAAATAGGAAAAAGATTGGCAATTATGAAGGTACAATACTACCAAACATCAAAAGGAGGATGGAAAGGGAATCACAGAAAACCAACCATTGGATTATGAGGTAATGCTGAATGTTATCTTGTCATGCTGAATGTTACCTTATTTTGCTTAATATTACAGGTGGCATGTGAATATGACTATGAGGTTAGGCATATATCACTAAGTGGAGAAAAACATGATGTCAATCTTTCCAAGAAAGAATGCACATGTAGAATATGGATGCTGGCATGACTGTCATGTTGTCATGCATGAAGGATCAACATTTACAAATTGATGAATTTGTACCTGACTGTTATAAGAAGGAACTCTATGAAGCTTGTTATTCACCAATTATTTATCTAGTTAATGAGGAAGCTTTGTGGACTAAATATGATGTTGTTAATCTCCAAACACCACTAATAAAGAGACAGCCTAGAAGGCCCAAGAAAAAAAGGAATAAAGAAGCTGGAGAAATAGTAAGGGATAAGACACATTTGAAAAGGGCAAACCATGGAATCAAGTGCAGTTGTTGCCACAAAGAATGTCACAACAAGGCCACTTGTAAACTGCCACATCCAGAAGCACCTCCAACTTAGGTACCAGAAGGAACCTCAACTCATAAACCACCGCCAATAATTTCAAGTCATCCACCACAATCATCTATTTCAAGTTAGCCACCACAACCAACACCTTCAAATCATCCATCACATGCAACAGTTCCAAGTCAGCCACCACCCAAAAAGAAAAAAAAACTTCAAAAGGGTGGGAAGCCTGTTTCAATTCAACCTTGATGTTTGTTGTGATGTTTGTTATGCCTTATAATGGTTTCTTTAATGTTATTTTAGTGCCTTATAATGGCTTATTGAAATGGATTCTAATGCCTTTTTGTAATGTTATATTACTGTCTTATAATGGCATATTGACAATGACTTATAATTCCTTTTTGTAATGTAATCAGTGTCTTATAATGACTTAATGACAATGACTTATAATGCCTTTTTGTATCACTTTTTGAAATGTTTTAGTTGTGCATTGAAACAGGTTACATTATGTTCCAACTTTTATACCAGTTATGTATCAATGTTAAAATGGACATTAATGTACAAACAAGACACTGTTAAAATAGACACTAACATTCTTAACTAATGAAACAAAAGATTACATTCATACTGTGAAAACACTGAATTCCCATAATTGAAATACATTGTTGCAAACATAAGATTCAACCTTAAGCTCAACATCCCAACCACAGCGAACATTTTCAACCATTCTTTAGTGTGGATAACCTCATTATTCAATTTGTTAATTTTCTTCTTTTGACTTTCAAGCTTCAAATCTCTTTCATC